CCCCAAAACCCCAAAACCCCAAAACCCCACCCAAATTTTCCTTCAATCAATATTTAAACCCAACACAAAAAATGGAGATTCGTACGACTCCAGAAGAACAGAAATCTAAAGAGTAAGAAATTTGGTGAGACCAGTGGGGTTTAAGGATTGGGGCTGGATTCAGAGGAATTAGGAGACCAAGTGAGGTTTAGGGGATGGTTAGAAGTGGGTTTTGGGTATGGAGAGGAGGGAGGTGGTATTGGGGTGGAAGTTTGGTGAGGTGGAAAGGGGTAGAGGGTGTGAGGGAATGAGGAGGAGAGTAAAGAGAGGGTTAGAGTAGGAGAAATAGGATGGAGTTTTATGGGTTGTTAAAATATTCTGATTGTATGATAAGAAATTTTAATTAAGAGTTCTGTAATGAAAAGGCATTCTAAAATAAAAAATCATATCAAAAATAGTACAAAATAAAAAGTCACCAGCTGTTACCCACCACTAAACACGAAATTTCACATCTAATACCCCTCTATCCCTCTAAAAACACAAAAACTCATCAAAATCCCACCCTCTCAATCCTCCCTTACCCCTAACCCCCTACACCACTTAACCACCTCTTCTAGGTCAGAACAAAAAGTAGCCACCCAAGAACACAAGTTTGCCTTAAGCCTGGTCAACCGAGCAGAAGACAGGTACACAAGGTAAACCAAAAGACAGGGTCTGAGGGATTTTAACTGGGAATTAGGGAGAAGAGCAAGGGGTGTAGAACTAGAGGTAGGATTTTAGGTTTGAGTGAGAAGAGGGGTTTAAGGAGGTGTTGTGTGTCAGAGACAAAAGTGGGGAGTTGGTGTATTTTTCTGGTGTTATTTATATATTCAGACCTTAGATCTGGGATTGGAGGAGGGAAGTAGTGCAGATATATTATGAATACTTGAAAATTAATTAGTTTAAGAGAAAATTACCTGGATGTATTACAATAAAATAAGACTTTTAGATTAAAATTAATAAGTTTCTAACTAATGTGTTTTAGGGTCAACAGTGAATTTTATCAAAGCATGGAAAAGATAAATATGTTTATTAGTGACGATCCCGACTGGGTATTCTGAAAAGCATTAACCAAGCTTAAGTTGGCAAACTACAAATCTATTGAGATCACTATCAATTCGTATAAGTAAGCTTTTGGAATGATAATTGGGCTAATTATTCTAGTGGTAAACGAAAAAAGAATTTACAAACATCCTAAACAGACTCATGCCAAACAAATTCAATACTTTAGAAGTTTCTTCTTATTCACCCGGAGTATGAGGCTTGAGTAGAATTTTTATTCCTTTGACAAAAGTTATCACTGGAGGAGAAGAGACATTATCCTTGGATAGCTTTAAAATTTCTAAAAGACAACTTCAAAAAATAATGTATCATGCCAAGGTAAGGCTGTAAAATTCTCCCATCATAATCAGGCTTAACTTTGTCCTACTTAATTCCAAAGAACATTCATAAGCCTGAAATTTATACCTAACCAATGACACTAAAAAATATCCAACCCCAAAATCTATTCATCCAATCTTAATCATAACTTTTACATCAACCCCAAATCTTCTAAACCCAAAACCTCTCCAGTAGCCAAAATCTTCCAATGAGCCATAAAACTGCGAAAATCCTGAAAAAATCCTTGCAGCAAAATTTCCAGAAGATTCCTTTATGCTTAACTTAGAAGACAAACTCTTAAATATTTAAAACATGTTAACCCTTCTGTTATAGGACATGAAAACTATTTGATTAGGATACTGCATTCTAGACACAGAAAATCTCACTTTGCCTTCTATTGGGTCATACAAGACAACTTATTTGAGCTTTTGGGATAGCGGAGATCCTACTCGATCTGATTGGATAAACAATCCTGATAAATCACTATAAAATATTGAAAAACTAGTTTAAAATACCACAAATGACATCTAAGATGATCCCGATTCAGTATAAAAACATCTTATCCTATTCAACTCTTACAGCATATCAAAAATACATTTTCCAAAATCATTTACACAATTTACTTCGAAGATTAAACTTGCAATAGATTCACTTCAATCCTCACAGCAATCTCTAAATGCTCTTTAATAAATTCTTTGAAGAAGCTTGAAATGAACTTCTCTCCATTCAAACAAAAAGAGGCTACAGAAATAGTACAAAATCTAGGATTCACAAGAACAGAAATAGACTTTGGAGATGACCAAAAATAGCGTACTATCAATCTCTAACCCTCTGAATCTCATTATTTCTTCACATCTCAATACTTCCCAATTATTTCCCAAATCTTCTTCAACCTCACCAATCTTAATCGGGGTTTTGGGGTTTTGGGGTTTTGGGG